GTATCATCATCATCATCATACATCATCGTTATCACTACCATCATTATCATCATTACCATCATCATTATCATCATCATGTATCATCATCATCACTACCATTTATCATCATCATGTATCATCATCATGTATCATCATCATCATGTATCAACATCATGTATCATCATCACCATCATCATCATCATGATACCATCACTATTACTTTAATATTCATACTCCTTTATATCTCCAGTGGTAAAGTGGAAGGAACCACCCGTTGTGGTAGCTACATCATGGTACCCGTCCCTAACACCAACGTGTACCTTATAGCCCTGGACGGCGGGGACTGCCCTGATACTACCGTCAAATGCCGATCAGTAAGTTGGAATTTGAATATGTTTTTGGCACTTTTCTTATACACGATTTTTTTCACTCTTTAAAGCTGTGCTCGAATGTTTTTTTTTTTTGGTTTTTGCCCAACCCCCCTCCCCCTCAAAAATCTAATGGTCCGTCCCTCATCATATGTTGAATGTGTTTCACAGTGCTCCAAGACCTCGTGTGCAGATGGGATAACAAAAGATCTCTCTACCACCATTCCTATATGTGTGCCATGCGTGTGTAGCGTGCGGTACAACCCATGTGCATTACATTATTATCAGGTCAGTCAAAGCCTCGTCCTGAATAAGGGTATTCCTATATATAGAGCTTTTGCACCATCACGTGCCGACGCTCATAATCCAGCTTGGGCTGCCTGTGGTTAGATGGAAGAACAATAAAATCCATTTGCTCTCGGGAATTGAATGCTTTCACATGTAAAACGATTGTATTGTTCCTGCTATCTAACATGGCTGGCGTCGGCTAATATAGGAAAGCAAAGGCTGCGCCAAAACAAAATATATTGGTTTTTGCCCGATTATTCCATTGTGTTATGAAGGACTATCGCTTGAAAGTGTCTTTTATTACCACTACCAGGATCCCTTGCACACTTTCTTTTGTCCAGTTAACTAGCACCGTTTGTGTTACTATACATTCTCATGAGGGAATACAAATTTAAATAAGAAAGAAAATTCGCAAAGCATTATGGTAGTGGGAGTCAAATGACGACAACATGCAAGTGTCCTAGTCACTAGTATTTATTTATAGCTATTTATATTGGGCTCCCTGTGGCTGTTTACCATTTATGTCACGTGATTACTGATCTACCTTTGTCTGTTAGTCACCCAATGCAGCTGTTGTCTGTCCGTCCATCGCACGCAACAACATCAACACTAAAACAGCCTGCAAGAAGCCAGACACCGACTCTACAGTACTAAAGGGACCCAAGACAATACCAAAGGCAGCGTCTCCTCCCCCTACGGGGAATGGCGAGGTTAAGGGGGCAGCGCCCACCCAAAATAAAGGCAAAGTGGAAACAATTTTTTTTTTGTTTATTCATATATATTTGGTTCAGATATTTTTGTAAATGAGTCGAATCAAAGAGAAAAAAAGGTTAACGATTTCAAAACGATATATATTTTTCATGGATGGTTGACCCGTAGCTATGGCAACAGAGAAGTACCTTTTCTCCCCGTTACCATGGCGACATCAATCTCATCTGTAAATTTTTATCCAACCGTTTTTTACTTTTTTTGCTTAATTTTCACGTTATCATCGCTATCTTCGAACTAAAACTATACTTTTTCTAGTTTATTTCTAGAATATAAGTTTTTTCCCTAAATTTCCTGTCATTAAGATATAATTGATTAAAGTTTAAAGTAAATATTATCGTTACCATATGTACATCTTAAAAATCATGCATTTCGCCATTTTCGAATTTCCCATAGTGCATTGCGGATCTTGGATTCATCATGTTTTTCTAGACCACGTGATGGGTCACGTGACTAAAACAGATGCGAAATGTACCTTCCAGGCTATGCATAAGTTGAATGGGATGATGGTCAAGACCACGTGAAGGTCACGTGACTTGCGGAATGATATTCTTGACCACAAGATGGTCACATGACTTAGGGACTAATTCTTGATATTCTTGGTTATATAAGCCATTCCGAGGTTGAGGAAAAACTRGGTCGAGTTGGAATTGCAGTACATTGTGGGACTGTATAGGGGACATTTCCAAGGTGGCGTCTCTTTCGTCCCCCAAAACAGCCCCACAATGCACTGCAATGTCAACTCGACCCATTTTTTTTAGGAATAGCTAAATAATAAAGTAATGTTATATATGGCGATTTCTTCTATAACCGTATAGAGAGAGAGAAATCAATCTTTTGGACATGTTTTTAAAAGACATGCTATACGCGCTTATCGGTGTCCTCGGCCAAATGCCACTCGGACGGAAACGAATGGGGTCGGTACTGGGTTCTAATCTACCACTCAGAGGTAGAGTACATATATACAGTCAATTCAAAAAACGTTGTCGTCGACCGACTCAAGCCTACGCGACTGAACCGAAAGGAATATGGGTAAAAATCACTGAAGCGGTTAAATATTCGTTCTGAATTAATTGTTCCCGCTAGTAGTAAAGATAATATTGGCGAGAAACGATTCATCAAATGCATGTGTTTGGGTTTAGGGAAAGAAAAACAAAGTAGTTATGATTCAGTTCACAATTTCGAAAATATGAAAACATTAAAAAAACGTCTCCTTCAACACTTCCCGCTCGCCTACGAAGGTTCGTGATGTAAACCAGGCATAACTAGTCAAGATAAAATTATGGAGTCAACTCGGCTTCAATGATTACTACCCAGAGTTCCTTTCGGACCAGTCGCGTAGGCTTGAGTTGGTCGACGACAACGTTTTTTGAATTGACTGTATTCGTGAAAAACGTTGCACGTGCACGAATTAGTAAGTCCAGTAGACCTCAGTAGACCGTAGACTTAAACCTTTGCTCAAATTTGTACAATTTTGTTAGTTAACTTTCTCACAGATATATGGTATGCACTCTACTGGGAGAAGCGTTTGAGTAGGCAGGACTTGAGTACCCTACTCAACTACTGTCTACCCAAAGGGTCGTTTCCCAGTTCCCGCGCGACCGGTAAGCGCGAATCCCCACTCGCTTCTGTGAAGGACTTTTCTCTCCTGGAGGGATAATACTAGGCGTTCAGTGAATAATGTTTTTTTTAAAGCCGTAACAGCGATGTACGGCACAAGTAAGAGGCGAATGCTTCACGTTTACCAGACTCTACACTTGGTAGACGGGTTCATCTTCGAGTCTTTAGGACAACTAAAAAGTTGGGAAAATCTTTTCATGTTGGATACACTACCAATAGCCCTAGAAAAGCGAAAAAAATGATATAATAATATTATAATAATATCTTAATATTATGAATCAGTGAAAGGTTAAGAAGTCAAATTCGCCTCCAATATTGCAAAGCGTTGCGTAACTGTCACGCAGGACGTGCGTTACCTGAATTCAGGCATGGCGTGACTGTCCATTTGAATTCTTCGTTTGATTCCTGTTGGATTGGCTTTGTAGCAGTAAAGCTGTAGGGAAAAGTCCACACAGAAATTAACAATAAAAAGACATTACGTTATTTATGACGTCACAACCACTAGTACGTCATATATGAGAATACGTCATATATCTGAAAATGGCATGTATTTTATTTCATTACATAAGTCGTGATGTTTTTTAACGTCAATAAAACGTCAATGGAAAAACTGTATCATCTTTGAAAATAACTTTTCAAAATTACTTAATAATTGTTGGTTGCAAGAATTCCCAAGAGAGTCAAAAGACAAAAACATGGCGGCCATTGTGGTGCCGTTAACAATGGATGCTTATGAGAAATCTTTTGTTAAATGGTACCAACATGACCGCGATGACGTACCGTTCAATCGAAGAATTCGTGAGGATAAAACAGAAAATCGCTAGCGTGAAGGAGGTTTGAAAATGTGTTTTTTCATTAGCACTTGGGCAACTTATTCTTTTTGAATTTCTCCAGCAAATATTAATAGCTTGGGAAGCCATATAAAGCACATGAAAGAGTGCTTCATCGCCTATCCGAACACCTCGAAGCTGGTTAAAAAAAACTTGGCTCCACCTCGTTTTTTCAACTCACTTTTCGGTGTTTGGAAATTTGGATAAAACACTCTTTCATGTGTTTGAAATATTACGTCATACATGTTTATGTCGTCATATGTCACGTTGCGAGAACGTCACACTCATACTCACTTGTCCAAAGGAAACGAACAGAAGCTGTTCATTTGTTATTCCCAGTCCAGGGATCTCGTCCTCTTCGCCATGTTCATCCAGCCAGTTCTTGTAGCCCTGAATATGTTTTCAACGACATATTTTCCTATCATAAAATTGATCATGGTGTAGCGGTGGGTACTGCATTTGTCTCTCTTCTCTGGGTTCTCGGGTTTGATTCCTGAACTCAGCATCTTCTCCTTTGATTTGAGGATTTTTTTGTGTTGTCCTATTTTTTATTTTTAGGCCTTCCACAAAAACCCTAGTAGAGCGTTTTCACGTGACGTCACAGCGGCCATTATGGTGTACCAAAACAATACATTTCCTATCCTCCGGGAATTGAACTCTATTTTTATGCAAATACTGTGCAGAAAGTTTCTATTGTCTATGGCTGCCTTCTCACGTGAGTGAAATCGCTGTATATAGGACATTTCATTTTAAACTGTGATATAGTCGTGACATGACTTACTAAGCTAGTCTAGAGGTCGTTTCGTTAATAGTTATTAATATCAGTAGTTGTGGTCATACCCTGTACGCGAGTCGTAGTCCTGCATTATCGGCAATGTTCTCTGACAATGTCTGAGCGCCGTCATTCTACGAAATAACATGTTATATTTCCCAATCAGTCTTATCATAGTGACGTATACTGAAGTGTAAATATATTCCCTGCAGTTCCCTTCAGACATTTTGGTCATAGTTAGGTGCGTATCAATGTATTGACCTTTACACTTTCCAGTTATTATCTTATGACGTAATATATGACGTCATAGTCAAGTGGTTGAACGTATCAATGTACTGACGTTTACACTTTCCAGTTATTATCTTATGATGCAACATATGACGTCTTAGTCACGTGGTTTAACGTATCAATGCGCTGACCTTTACACTTTCCAGTTATCATGTTCGTATGACGTAACATATGACTGACTTCTACATTTCCCAGACTTTATCTCTGACGTTGCATAAGACGTCATAGTCACGTGCTTTAGCGTATGATTGTACTGACCTTCACACTCTCTCCGTTGCCGAGATCAGAGTAGTAGTTATCGTACTGATCGACAAGGCATTTTGAGCTGATTTGGAACTGGTTGAACGAATAGTTACTCATCCATGGCTCTCCAATCTCGCCATATTTGTTGAAGCGACTGCCTGTAATACGACACCAAAATATTTTTTTACAATAACTTACAAATTTCTCGCGCGCTGATTTATTTTGAGTTATTTTTTATYATCAATAAGAGGACAGACAGATAAAGCTGACGTCAACGACCGCGCGCTCTTTCCGTTGGTTGTTTTGATCGCTAAAAATGAGAATTTTTTATCGTTTTTGTTATTATAAAAAACAAATAGACATTAGTAGGTAGTTTACTAGGTAATTTAGGTAATATACTTTTTCTTAATGCGTCTGTCCTCTTATTGACGATAGATTTCGTCATTGGCTACGCCTCGTGGATCAACACTACTTTGACAATGTGATGACGCAAWTTATCGTCAATAAGAGGACAGACACATTAAAAAAATGTAAATTACCTCTCTTCTTAATCAATTAGCAAGCACTCATTTTCAGACTATCCAATCACATTATAGTATTTGATTGAGCTAACTCGTATGGAAAACGAGTTCCGAGTTAAAACTTGGGGATTCAAGAAAGAAGTGAGGAAGTGTCGAGAAGCACTCTGCTACGTGTCGATYGTGATTCTTCTGGCACTCCTCTCGTGTTCTGCCAACCCCAGCGTGCTTTATAACTGCACCCAGCAAGCAAGCGCGTTTTCTATTTCTTTAAAAATTATTTCAGATGAAGGTTAAATCATTGTGAACATTTTTCGTTTGATTTTAGCAGCTTTTGTTGTCAGTTGGACCCGTAGAAATGGAAATACGTCACAACTTAATATTTCCATAACTGCTATATGTTTGTTTTCTTACCAAGAGCATCGAATCCGTGTGTTAGCTCGTGTCCAAGAACAGTGCCAATGGCTCCGAAGTTAACTGCTCTACAAGTACATAAACAAACATCCTGTTTTATCGGGTATTTTAAAATAAATAAACACAAAAATCATTGCCGTAGACGGAAAGAGCATGTTAAAAAAATGGTAAAATTGTGAAGTTTGAAGGAAAAAAGTTTTAAAATTGCGGAGATAGAGTGAAAGCATCCAACCCGTGAAATAAAAAAATACTATTAAATAGACACAAAAGAAAACTATGGAATTAGGGTCTAGTAATGTGTATTAGTCTAATATCTATTTCACTGGTTTAATGACTTCACTGTAGATGTTCGGGATTATGTAAATTAATAGTCTCTTTGCAGTTAACGGTCACGTGTCTGTACTGGAGGGCAAAATTTTTGTTTTTATATTAAATTGGTGATTCTTTTTAGCTACTTGTAAAGAACTGAATGAAAATATGTGTAACCAGTTTGTCACGAAATGCAGTTTTATTACGATCTCTCGAAACAGGTTGTAGAAAGTTTGTTTGCTCACCAGTTTATTTCACCCATGGGAATCAAGATGTTCATTTATTTGCTCTCAGTGAATTAATCAGCTTGTGATTACTGAGCTGCAAAGGGCCTATTATGTCAATGAATGCTTTCATACAAAATTTTTGATTCGGTTTTACTTTTGAATTACCGTGGTGCTTGTCGACCATAGTAGAAGGGAGGCTGTAGAATACCAGCATTGATATCTAAATGAATAATAGAAAATAATTAATATCGTTCTCAGAATAACTGGTCGTTCGACCAATCACAGCGCGAGAAACTCTAGTCTAAAAATATTCTAATGAATAATATTCATCTCTGATTGGCTTAAGTGCGGTCACGTGGTATCATTGTAGTTTCTTACTTATTTCATTTTGGCTCATCTTGTAGAAGGCATTGACTATTTGAGGTCCTGAAAACCACCTTAAAGAAGAAAGAAATGATACTCAAGGGAATGACACATGGTCTGAAATGGGAAAACATTGCACTATAGCTGAAAAGCATTTTTAGTAGTGCAAATGAAGTCAGGGTTTTCAAAAGCCTCTGTTTTCGCTGTTCACAGTAAATTTAATGCAATTTTTTCAAGTAATATTGCAAAGCCGACAATGAGGACTGGACGGGATTTCAAGTCCAAGCAATTAGTTGCAGTCCGAGGCGCAGCCGAGAAGAAAAATTGTACTTATAGACAAGATCGACGTGAAGTAAAAGTCAGCAATATTGCTCTAAACGCATTACACGTTTGAACGGGGCCTTATTTCGCAAATTCCAACGATAAAGTAAAGAATGCACAACCTCTGGATAAACAATACAAACACTTTGGAATTCCACGTACGGACCGGCCTTCACTGGAACAAGTGTTTGAATATTCTACACAAAATTGCGAGGCGAACCCTGAGCAACAGAGAGCTTGATACTGGAGCTGAGCATAGTGAAAGCTGAGCCAGTTCTTTTACAGCATTTGGTGTAGAATGATACTTACTCTTCATCGTCAACTGGTTGTCCAACCTTCGAGAAGAACGTGCGACTGTACCATTTGGAAACGTTCAACGCGTTCAAAAGGTAATGATCTTTCGTGTTCACTTCCAGCTGTATATGTAAGAAATTTTAAAGAAATATTGTTTTAGTTTCGGTCGTTTCTCATAATTTGATATTTTTCGTGTGTAAAATGTGCTCGTAAAACAAGAATTCAAAATGAACTTTGCAAAAATAGTTCATAGATACATTTTTCAACTGTTTTGATAAGCACAGCCTTTAAAGACGAAATACTCCTTTATAGTATACACCTACTTGCAAGAACGTTGTCATACAAAATAGAACATTAGTAATTTAGTGGGATAGGACTAATATTAAAAAAACAAAAGAAGATCACTGAAGCTGAACTYTTTCTTTTGTCTTTTAATGTATTCCTTTCTCACTAAATTACTAATGTTCTATTCTTGTATGGCAACCTTCTTTCAAGTAGGGATATATATATATGACCTAATAAGCTTTCTTTAATTTTCATGGCAATAAAGTAACCTGGTTATCAATCTTACGGGATTTGAATGCCCTTATAAAATAAATTTTCATGAACCCGTTCATGTCTTACCTGCATTGGCGTGCTGGGACTGGTTGTACGAAGCCTGGATAGCGCTATCCGGCGGATAAATCCTTATCCAGTGGATAAGTCGATGCTGTTATCCAATAAATTTATCCACTGGATAAGATTTATYCTTCGGGTAGGGCTATCCAGGCTTCGTACAACCGGGCCTGGTGGGATTTTGTGAATTGGAAGTAAAAAAATACTTTTTCCCAACCTGAATTTTTTTTACGTGGTCCCTATTAAAATAGGATAATCAAAAAAAGATATTTTTCTATTTAGGTAATTATTTTGGGGTGGCTCGATAAATGCTATATTATTTTACGAGCCCCCCTAAATCCAACCAGCCCCCCCTCTAAAT